CCAAGGAAGAATTCAAGATACTAAAGAGCTAAATGGAAGATTCCAAAAGGCAGCATGGGATGACAGAGAAAAATATTACAATGAAATGTCCAAGGAACTAGAGTCGGAAAATCAAAACGGCCGAACTCATTCAGCATTTCTTAATCTCAAGGAACTAAAGAACAAATTCAAACCTTGAGTTGCTATAATCGAGGATGCTTTAGGAAGAATATTAAATGATCCAGGAAGTATTAAAAGAAGATGGAAAGAATATACTGAGTCACTGTATCGAAAGGTATTGGCAGACAAAGAAAAATTTAATGAAATAACATATGAGCAAGAGCCTATGGTGATGAAGGAAGAAGTTCAAGATACTTTGAAGGAAATAGCAAAAAACAAGGCCCAGGAATAGATGGTATACCAATTGACATATTTCAGCTAACAGATGCTGCCCTGGACATGCTCACCAAGTTGTGCCAAGAAATCTGGAGAACGACCACTTGGCCAACTGACTAAGCAGCTGCTTCTGCATGATTAACTGCTGCTGAGAATTTGCTGTCAAGCAGTTGATTGCCTGGAGTCCTAGTTCTAGATGCAGTGCAGGGAAGAACAAAGACAAACCAGAACCCAGACAAACTTCTACATCTTCCTTTCAACATCTCTTAGCCACAACTTTCAGAAAGTCGTCACTGCGCCTTCACTTTAACCTTTCAGGTTTCACTTTCATTTTCCAGGTTTCTCTTTTGGCCTGATCTAAACCACACTCTTTAAGCAAAATGGGTTCTGAGAAACTTAATTCTTGTTTGACCAGGTTAGGACAGTAATAAACCACCACAATTCACTTCTAAAGTTTTTACATGGAAGTTCATTTTGGAAGTGATACTCAATTTAACAACAACAAAAAAGAAAGAAAGCATGCGTAACTTTTCTAATTTTTAAAGCACATTCTTCTTTTCTCTATTATTATTATTAATTTTAATGAAAATTTACAGAGATTTTGGATTTCCATTCATTCATTGTTGCACTTTTCTCCATGTCCACCCCTCCCCTCCAGTTCCTTCTTCTCTTTGAAAAGTAAAAGAAAAATTCTTTCATTGTTACACAATCCCTACCCCCAAGTTCACTCCACTATGCAACCAGTGTCTAGACTCCTGTCATGACAATAATAATTATATATACCTTTTAAACAGTACTCTCTCTCATCTGTTTCAATGCAGTATACATAATTTATCCTGTTTAATGCACATTCTTAAAAAACAAATTGTTGACTGTGAATGCTAACAACTACAGAAAATGTTAAGGAGATTATGTACAGCTGGCTGGTTTGGGTTTTTTCTTTTGATAGTCAACATAGAATTTAAGTACAGTTGTTTTTCTAAAACAATCATCTCTTGAGATCTTCTGAAAAGGAATCTAAGGAAGTAATATTTATAGTGTACTGTGCCAAAGCTCACCTATGAGTCTATTTCACAATTCACATACCAAATCAGCAAATAACTCAAACTCAAGTCTCTGGAACAAGGTGTAAAATTCACCCCAGAATTTATAATTATTTACATCTCAGTATAAGTTGTTTCGGTTGGAGTGTTTTGGGTTTTTTGGGGTTTTTTTCTTAACTTGGTTGCTTATTTTCTCCTACTTTTCTAATCTTTTATTGAAGTTTAGATTGCACACAGTGTAAAGTTTATAAAGTAAATTGAGCTTAAGAGAACAAGATTTTTACATCTCTCCATATCATCACTATCTAGATAAAAATATAGAACTTTCCCAGTGCTGTTGATCGGTTTTCTTTGGGCCTTTTGTTCTTCCCAGGTAAACTGCGTCATGCATTTATACTTTTCATTGCAATAGATGGTGCAATTTGTGTAACGGTGGTGCGGTGGTACATGGAAGTGAACATTAGCACTAAAGTGAAAATGTCAGTCTTCCCTAAAGTGGCCTTGAATTGCCTGTGTTTATGTCACTTTCTCTTTCTGCTTTTACCCTGAAACAGGTAATCAGATCCTGTCCCTTGGGAGCCTCTCGAAAGATCAGATTTATCCATTGAAACTCAAGGGCATCTCCATCTGCTATTCGACTCTCAAATCTGCCTTGTGTGGAAATTATGTCAGCTTTGGCGTCTTCAAGTTGTATGGGGACAACCATTTTGACAATGTACTCCAAGCCTTTATCAAAATGCTGCTGTCAGTGTCCCACTGTGACTTGCTGGTAAGCACTCATGCATCATGGGAGTCTTTGTATGAAATATGAAGTAACACCACCACAGGCATGGAATTGTTATAATGAAACCAAGGGAGTTAGAATAGCACCAGAATATTTTATGCTATAAAACAGCACACTTGATTTAACATCCGGACTTTGGACAACTCTGCTGATTGTATTTATATAATTAAATGTGCATTTTAGAAAGCTGCAGCTACCACCTTCTGACAAATTGGTCCTCCGCAGTGCTCCAGGTTCTGCATCTAGAGAAAATGTAATTAGCAATTTCAACTAATTGCTTACAGTTATAATTCAGAAAAAGTATTCCCTGGAGCAGAAAATGCAGGATTAGCTACAGGACCATCCGCTTCCCTTTATGCTTTCCTTTCTGTTCCATCTGCTGTTTGGCCTTTCTTTCCACTAGAATTCTGATACACTGGACTGAACTGAAAGTTGAGCAACCCAGTGGGTGATCTTAGATCTGCCCTTCACTGATCATTTTCCTTAAATAAATTGCCTTTTCAAATTCTCAAGACTTCTTTAAAATATGATGGTTAAACCAAGTGATCTCTCGGTCTCAATTCTATCCTCCTATGTAGTTGCTGTGATATATACGATTGCTTTTCAACTTTGATATTGAAAATTCATATTTCCAGTCCCTTCCATAAGCTGTGTCATTATCAGATTAACTTTAAGAACTTTGCTTAACTACACAGAAGCCAGTACATTCCTGCGTGGTTACAATAATTACTTGGGTTACACAGCCAAAATCATACAAAGGCTTGGTCCACGTTTCCCCACCTAATCGCACCCCAAGGTTACAAGAAGGAACTGGTAGCCTTTTCCATCACCCTTCATAAGATAAATGTTCCTGGCCTTCTCGTTTCACCATCTTCTACCTTTCTAACATAGTCTTAATAGAAACACATCTGAAACAAAAACTGTTAAACCCCTATGGGTAGGTTGGGACATGCATAGAATTAACTATACGTATATGACACAAATTACAGAGACTTCAGCCACACCACTTATATAGTTCAGCTAGCTGCCTCACTGATGTGTTGGTGATTTTTGTTGTTTTGGGTTTTGTTTGTTTTGGGATTGGGGATTTTTGGAGGTCTTTTGGGTTTTTTACCACAGCTGAGATCCATCATGAAACTGATGTGGTTCTAGAATTTTCCGCTAATCTATTTTATAGGCTAGACAAGAAAAACTAGTTCAGCAGTTCACAGACTTTAGTGTAAGACCTTTTGGGAGCTCTGGTGCTTAATTATTGTTGTTGTTGTTGTTGTTATGTGCCAT